TTGAGGACTTTTCAAATTCTTTGCCTCTAGCTTCTAATAGCCAGCCCTGCTGCTGTCTGTCAACTTCCATTAAGTAGCATCACCAGTTACCAGGTCTTGGTCACCAGTGGGTACTTAGAACAGGAGTACGTTTGCTGATTGCTGAAGTTAGCATGAGCTCAGGGGCTTGGCTTTCTTGAAGGAACTAAGGTCTCTTGCCAGCGGAATAGTTTCATTATATATGTTCCATTTGGTCGTAATTGAATCTGACTTCCTCTAGCCATGCTCTCACTTGGTGCTCTTTTGCAGCCCCTGCCTATGACTTGCCCAAAGCTTTGATTCCAAGAGCCTGCGGGGCCTGGGGGGCCTGTGAGGCCTGGCGATGTGCTCGGCGGGGAGCCATGGGTCTTTCCTAACGGGCTGGAAAGAAGGAGGAAGAGGCAGTCTCCCATAGGCACCCTGTTCCCAGAAGACACTGCTGTCGCCTTGGCCCGAGCCCCCAGCTGCTCCTGCCTGGAATATTGCAGTAACCTCCTCCCAGGTCTTGTCTGCTTCAGCTCTTGCTCCTCCTGCAGCCATAGTGGTTGTGCTACAACAGAAGTCACAGCCCTTCCTTGCTCACAATCGTCTAATGGCTCCTGATCTCATGCAGAATAAACGCCGGAGACCTTGCAGGGGCTCCAAGGTCTTCCTTGTGAATCTGATTTCTGACTGCCCTCGTCTCCTGCTCCCCTATTTCCTCATCCCCTCTGACCACACCAGCCTCCCTGCTGTGCCTCAGACCTGCCCAGCATGCCCCTATCTGTGTTTCCTTCTCTCTCTGCCTGGAATATTCTTCCTCCAGATACTTATGTGGCTCCCCTGCCTCATCCTTCTTTTAAGTCTTTGCTCAGTTGTCACCTTCCCAGTGAGACACTCTCAGCATGCCAAACCCTCCTCCAAACTCTTGCATTTTCCTTCCCTTTCCCCTCCTTTCATTTATTTTTCATGCATTTACCACCTTCTAACAGATTATGCAATTTAGTTTTTAAAAAAAGCCACATTGCTTATTGTCTGTTTGCCCCAGCTAGAATAGAAACACCCAGGAGCACAGCCTTTTGTCTGTTCTGAGCCTGTTGGATCTCAGTGACGGGAAGAATGGGTGCTCACTGCACACGTGGGAACTGCACACTCACAGGCAGAGCAGGGCCGGGCGAGGTCGAGGGCTAGTTGGTGAGTCTCTTACGCTAAATCCGATTCTCCTTCTGGAACTCGCCTTACCACACCCATGTTTTCATCAGTTTTGTGACTTTTGAGCAGTACCTCAAAAGGCAGCGCGAAGACCTGGTGCGAGAGAAAGGCCCTTTGTGGAGTTGACAGTGTGGCCGCAGTAAAACCTGAGGGCCCCACGGCGAGGTGGTTAATGCTGCTATTTATAGCTCGGATTCCAGTATATGTTTTCCAGCCACACTTACTCCTTTCAGCCTCCCCTGTATGCTCAAGCATGTCACTCAGTTAGCTCATGGTTTCTTTAGTCCTATTATGCATTGTAGGGCTCCCCTGGCTCAGGTTTTTTTTTTTTTTTTAAAAGAGAATAATAGAGTGTTCTGTTCTCAGAGGTTTAATTTTTTAATAGCCTTGCCAATTAAAAAAAAAAAACCCTTTCCCAAACTTTTTATCATGAAATTTTCCAACCTACAAAATAATTGAAAGAGTAACACAATGAATGCCCAAATGCCCTCCACCGAGAACCAACACTTGCTAAGATTTTGCTCCATTTGTTTGACCCTAGATGTGTCAGCCTGGAGGTGTGTGCATGTGCATTGTTTTCCCTGAACCATTTGAAGGTAGACATCATGACACTTCAGCCTATTCTGCAAAACCATTTGAGAATAAGTATAGATGTCATCATCATCTACTCTTGAATCTCCCAAGAGTAAGAACATTCCTAAATAAAGCCACAGTGCCATTATTAAACCTAAGAAAGTCAGCAGTAATTTCAGACATCATTCAATATCCAGTCTGGATGCAAATTTCTCCAGTTGTCTAAATATATTTTCAAACCAAGGTTTAATTAAAATTCACACAAGAGATTTGGTAGCTATGTTCCTTTAAGGAGTCTTCTTGCCTGTGCTTAATGACACTGACTTTTTGAGGAGTCCAGGATAGTCACTGTATAGATGCCCCATATTCTGGGTTAGTCTGATTGTTTCCTCATGAATTTGTTCCTCTGTCCTCTTATTTCATGTAAACTGGGAAGGAGGTTTAGAGGCTTGATTGGACTTAGGTTAAATGCTTTTGCAAGAGGACTTTAAAAGCGATGTTGTGTACTTCATACTGTATCATGTCAGGAAGCATGTGGGTGTCAGGTTGTCTTGCTGTTAGTGATGTTCAATTCAATCACTTGGGTATGATGGGGATGGACTGAGGTCTCTCTGAACTTTCTTTATGGTAAGTAGAACAGTAGAGGGTTATGTTCTCAGAAGCTTAGTTTAAAGAAAAAAAGACCTCCCCCTTTACTGGCTCTTTTTGAACTCCCAAAGAGTTGCAAAGTAACTTCTGAATCTATGCATATATAATGACTGCTGGACACAGTGACCAGAAAACCAGACAGAAGAGCTAAGCTGGAACCTTGAGATGAGACCGTGAAGAGAGAAATGTAGGCTCTGCCCAGGCTTTGTCAGAGGACCATGGTAGGGTGACTGTCAGGAGTTTGAAATGAGCAGCAAGAGGCCTTGGGCTCTTCTTTCTTCCTATTGAATATTATCATCCCTCCAGGAAGGAGGGGAAAAGTGTACACTCCACTTGTAAAGTGATGGCCTTTGAGATTTCAAGAAGGGAACCAAGGAGCCCTTTGAGAATTCTCATCTCAGCACATTTCTGACAGTGGTGGACAGGGCATCTTTAAGAAGTATCCTAGAAACAAGACTAGAAGATTGTTCATCCTTGCAGTACAAATGTGGCTGACATTGGAAGATTTTGGCTGACCTTGGAGTTTGTTGCCAAAACCTGAAAAAGGCTTAGAAAAGTCAAGAGAAGAGCAAGAATACAACGAATGGGTTAGACTGAGAGAAGTTGGGACTCTTCAGCTGAAAAACAGGAGAGTCAACAGGGAAGTAATAAAAATGGCATCTTACCAGGAACCTACCAGGTGCTGTTTAATTCTTTACATATGTTTTCTGAAAAATGTGTTCTTGCTGCCTCTGTTTTGCATGCAGAGAGACCAATGTTCATGTTAAGTAATTTGTGTAGTACTGCATAGCTACTAGGTAGTAGAACTGAGATATGAATCCAGTCTGCCTGACTGGTACTTGCCCTCAGTCTCTGTGCTCTCCTGCCAGCTCTCCTGACTTAGGGCCTGGATCTCAGCATGATAGTTGAACTTAAAAAAAAAAAAAAACAGCACATTTATTATCTCAAAGTTTCAGTGGATCAGGATTTGGGAGCAGCTTAGCTGGGCATTCTGGCCTGGGATCTCTCATGAGGTTGCAGTTGGTATATTGGCTGGGCTGTAATCATCTGAAAGCTGGACTGGGGCTGGAGGAGCCACTTCCAAGGGGGCTCATTTGCATGGCTGACAAGTGCTGCTGCTGGTTGAAGGGCCTCAGTTCTTTCCCCCTTGGGCTTTTTAAGGAACTAGTTTTCAGATTACAAGTGTTAATTTATAGAAATATTTGGAACTCACCAACCCACTTAGGGAAACTGACTGAAAACAGACTCGAAAGGATTTGGGTGATCCATTTCAGGGAGGAAAGATTGAGGGAAGGGAGAGATGCTTTGAGAGCTTGAATACCTGAAGGATAACTGGTTTCTGCCTTATCATGGTAGATCATCAAATTGATGGAGACTTATTTTTCTGCTAAGTTCTTAAAGGGCTGTGTCTGTTTCTTAGATGTAGGGCAGGTTTTTTTTTTTTTTTGGTAGGGGGAGATTGTCTCTAGGAAATGCTCATGGAGATAGTTATTTATACATACCCTGCCTTGTTCTAGAAAACAAGTTTATAATAATACAGTAGCAACTAAGAGATAAAATGAAGTAGTGGTTTGATGGGTAGTGTGGGTGGGGAGGGAGGTTGGAATATGTGGCACTTTCCTGATCTGGCTTTGTAAGATGTGGGGAGGCATGGAAGGACTGCATACCCTTTGGAAGTCCTCATAAATGCTGCTGTTTCTTGGTAATTATCGAACAGCCCTGAAGCCGAGGCTATTGCTCCTGGGCAGTAACTGGATGGAAGCCGTTCAGTGTGGCCAGGCTTGGCAGTGGGGTGGGTGGGGGGTAGGGTGTGTGTGCTGCGGTTTCCAGCCCGCCCAGGGATTGGTGCTTCTGCCTCGTGTCAGTTTGTTCTTGTTTGCCCACAGGGCTGGATTTGCCTAGTGCTCCAGGGGCTGGGTGACTCTGAGCTGTCTTCTCACCCCAGTCATACAGCCACGTGTCGACTAGTCTCGCCTTACGGGACTCACCCTGGTCCCTGTCACTGTGCCCATATTGAATTTTTGTTCTTTAAATTTTTTTTTTGCCTTATTTCAAAGTGAAACATTTTCAGGATTGAAAATTAGCGAAACAAGCAACTTTTTAACACAAATAAGTCCCTACAATCCTTTATCTAGAGATGACTCCTGATGGCTTCTCCTGGGGCTCTCCTGACCTGTTTCAGTCCTTTTGGCCACCGTTCTTTGCATGGGGGGGGATGGCTGCTTGTGACTTCCTTCTTCCTCTGTATGCCATCCATATCCTTTACTATTCTCTTATGATCCTGCAGGTATAAGCAAACAAATAAGTAATTTAGAAATTACTTTGCTAACCTAATGATGTAAAATGTTTAGGAAAAAACGAGTACAGCCTTTCCCACCAGACTAATACAATGATGACAGTCAGGCATATTCCTTCCCATTCTTTCTTCCATGCCATAAGACAAGTTTGAAGATGCAGAGAAATGTTGCCAGGGAAGCCAGAGTAGCTGAAGTAGGGGCTTATAACTCACAGAATCTTAACTCGGGGTACATCTGCTTTTGTCCACCCATGTTGCTTTTTGTGTCCAACAGTGGAGAACACGCAGCTGACCCTGAACCTGCAGACTGAAAACAAAGGCGGTGTTGTCTCGGGTGGTGAGCTGACAATTTTCCTGGACGGGCCCACTGTTGATCTGGGAAGCGTGCCTAATGGCAGTGCCGTGACGGATGGTGAGTGCCGCCCTGCTCCCCGGGGCTGTGCCGGGACGGGGCGCGGTGGGGCAGGGGGGCCGGAAGAGGTGCCCAGAGCTTGGTTCTATCCCTGGGTTTGGGGACTACTCAGCCAGCCCTGACTCTTCTTAGAGTCGTGGATCAAAATCATGGCATGATTTTTCAAGGACTATTTCCTGATAAAGGACCAAAATAAATGTCAAGTCTTTGTAAGCATGTTGTTTGGTTTGAGAGCAGGGAAAAACATCTTTTCATCCCACACGGGCTTTGGAAAATAAGACATCTTTATTAAATGTTATTGGGCCCGTTTTTCTTCTTCCCAATCCAGTTAAACTTCCTGGGGATCTTGTCTTTTATGAGCCAGTTTTGGTCGGGAAAGAGGAGCCATATGTCTCAGAGATTCACATTAGCAAATTATAGGCAAGAAGCGGGGATATTGGAGTGTCTCCTGCTCTGTCCTGAATGTGGGCAGTTTGTTTCTTTTGATCTAGTCTGAAATTAGTCACCTTTGGATCTAGCAGGAAATTACTTCATGAAGGCTGAGATCTGAAATGGGTTGGCTTTCTCCATAATTTTTCTCATTAAATGTGATGTAACTGTGGCACTTTCCAGGCCCCTAACAGGCTTTCTGTAGCTTCAGGGGTGAGATTTGAATTCTGTTTCAAGGGCATTTGGGTAAGATCTCAGTGATTGGCTGGGCCTTGACTGCTAAGACTCCTTATTCAACCAGGCTGTGTGGTGCTCGCGGTACTTTTGCTGTATCTAGAAAAACACGTGCCATTGACTCATTCAACACATAGATCCATAATTGAGCACTTGGTTTGTATTAGCTCTTGGACCAGGTGCTAGCCAGATGGCAGGGACAGAATTCACATGGTCTTTACTTATCTACTTGGGGCGGGGGGCAGGGGATGTTAAGCATCAAATGAGGAAAAGCATACATAATTATATAATTGTAACTGTGACACAAGCTATAAAGGAAGAGTGCTGTGCTTTAGGGGATCTCATGTAAATTGGGGGCTGGGGAAGCTTTCTCTGAGGAAGCTGAAACCCGCTGGAGTATGAGGAGTTTAGACAGGCCAAGGAAGGGATGTGGGATAAAGGGGTGGCTGAGTAAGAGGTGGAGGGATCTCAGGTGCAGAAGCTCTCAGGTGGGAGGGAACGTGGCCCGCGGTGGGTACAGAGGCGGGTACAGAGGCAGCCAGGGTGGCTGGATCATGGGGAGCAAGACGGGGAGTGGTAGGAGGTGAGGTCACAGAAGCAGGTCGGCTGAGAACTGCAGCCTCAGAGACCTTAGTAAGGATTTTGAACCTCATCCAAAGGAGCAGAAAGCTGTTGAAGAGTTTTTGATCAGAAGAATATCATGATTTGATTTGGATCAAAACTGATTTGGCTTTTTAAAAGCTCCCTGCTTGTGATGTCGAGCGACGCCCCAGTTCCTTGCCCCCATTGCATGGCCAGCATCCGTCCTCTGTCTTATGTGGTGTGGCCGAAGTTCATTTAACATATAAGACAGCATGCTTGTAAGTGCTTTCGACGTTCTTGAAGATCTTGGAGAAGAAAAATTATTTCCCAGGTTTGAGACCCTCTGTTTTGTGGCCTCAATCAGATCTCACCTGGCCGCCCCTGTCCTTCTCCTGCTGGCGGCTGCAGCTTGCTGGACGGGCCGCATCCCACCGGGGTGGGACGCTCTAAAACAGAAGTTAGCCCCGTTCCTGTACCCACATCTCACACAGAGGTTTGAGCGTGTCAATGTTTCTGTCTTTTCCCATGATGGGTCCCCTTTCCAGGTTCACAGCCACCTTCAAGAGAGTCCAGCGGGACAGCTGTCGCTCCAGAGACCCGGCACCAGCCTCCCAGCACAAACTGCTTTGGTGGGAGATCCCGGTAAGACCCCCATCCACCGCCCCACCGCTGGCCTTATGGATGAGAGGAGCTGGGAAGTCGCTTAGAGCTCTTGAAAACACATTGGGAAGTGGTGAGGAACAATTTATGTTAGAAACTGCTGGAGATTTCCAGAGAGCTTATAACTAACTTAAAAGACTTATAAGTGTGTTAAGAGGGCCTGGGGGGAAGACAAAACTCAGGATTCTCAGAAGGGTCGTGGATTCCTTGACAAGATAGGGACTGGCCAAATTGGATATTTGGATAAGAGGAACTGTTGAACAGAGCCTGACTGCTTTTTTTTTTAATACATCCGATACAGCGGCCACAGCTATCCTTCTAGGATGCACATAGAAACACCTAGAGCAGTGGTTCTTTGCATGTGAAGTTTTCTGTCTGTGCATTCCTGTTTGTGGGGATTGATTCATGATTCCCTTGGGAGTGTTGGTGAAGACTTCCTGCACTCAGAGTCTGAGCTACCTTATATTTGGTACTCATCACAAATGACGTAATTTTATTTACTGACATTCCCATCTTATACTTGTGTTGTGTTAAAGGTGCAAACCATTTCCACGGCAGTTGAATTCCCAGGCAGGGGAATAGTTTTAAGTGCATTAGAGAGATGAGGAGGTTGGGAACCCGTTTTCTTGCTTATTACAATGTACAAAATCCCCAGACATTTTAAGGGAATATTAAGGAAAAGAATCATATGGAATATAGTTTGTAAACCATTATTTGCGCAGAGTAGGCGAATAACTGGTAAAAGTCTTCCCAGACAAATCCCAGGGAGTAGGGGTGTAATGCTTTAAGAAACAGAGTATATTTTAGCCATTACCCACAGCAGCTGGAAAGGTCCCTCTGAGGACAGTCGTCTGCCTCTCTGGATTTGGTTGTTTTGAGGGTTTGTTGGGTTTTGGTGCCTGGCAAGTGTCAGGAACAAGAGAGGGTTGAATATTTTGTTCTATTGTCTGTAGCATCATTAGAAACAGAGGTACCATTTCCTTGTCATCTTTTCTTCAAGCCTCTGCAAATGTCTTATCTCATACCCTGAAGACTGGTCACTCTTCTCTGTGACTCACAAGATGACCTCTAAGTTGGGATAAATAGTTGAGGCTTACCAGTTAAGGACCAACAGTATAATTGGCAAATCTTGTATCACGAGAGGCATGATTGGAACCCAGAACTAGAGAAAACAGAATCTATTCAGGGGCGAGTAGATGGTGGAGAAGAACACCTCAGCCATTCACTCTTTGAGAATAATGCCTTCTTAGCTCTGGCATTAATACCTGCCATCTTGGTCCTTTAGCTGGTTGGAAAGTTGATGTCTGACAACTGATGTCACTTAATTTGGTGCTGAAAGTCACAGTTCAGCTCTTGACAGGTTTGGACTTCAGTTTTTGACCTGTTTGTTGCTCTCTGAAGTTCTCTAGTTGATAGACCTCGAAAGTCACATATCTGGATACCCCTCCTCTGGTGTTGTTTGTGTTGAGGATTGTTGACTGTTACAGCAGCAGCCAGGCTTCAGCAGAAAATGGGGTGCACTTTTGCCCATAACACATGTTCACTGTTAGTTAATTACTGATGGGCAAAGTGCTTTCTAGGTCATTTAAGTCGTATGGGGAGGCCTCCTCTGTCTGCCCAGCTATGGTAGCATTTTCTATGTGTGGCCTGTGAGTTTCCACAGGCCTCTGCCATCTAAATTTATCATGTGTTCGCATGGAACCTGTTGCCATTCAGCAGCACTTTTGGAAGTATCACCGAGATGTAACATCTTCTGCTTCCCTAAAACCCTCCTTTCCCCATTGCTGCTGCATTTAGAGAGGCCAGCCTGCATGCCTAGGTGGCAGCAGAGTCGTCTGCTGGATGAGCGTGGGGCTTTGGAATCAGAAGACGCAGATTGAATCCTGGTCTGTCATTTACTTGCTGTATGATATTGGACAAGTCACTCAACTTCGCAGCCTCTCAGTGTTTTCAGGTGTAAAATGGGGCTATCACCTGGGTCACTGTAGGAATGAACTGAGCTGAACTACATCCATCTGAGGGCCTCGTACTTTGGGAGGGCTCTGTGAAGGTGACGGGGCTGGGGTTGCATCTGGGGACTGTCTTTTGTGCCCCACTTCCCCACTGCCAAACCTGGGAAGTATGGCATTACTGAAACATTCACATCCAGGAGACTGTAGTTAGGAGGGTGATGAATCAAACCTTCAGGATTCAGGGACAATCCTCTGCTGTCCTTGGTTTCCTGAGGTAGAGAGAATGATGGGCTTCTGCCTGCCGCCTCTCAGACTAAATATTTAGCTTTCGCTGTCTGAAGGGTAGGTTTTTCTTGGACTTGTTGCTGTTCTCCATGATCAAAGGTGCTCTGACGTGCCCATGAAGGTGAAGATTGCAGTGTCAGATGGACCTTTTCCTCTCCTCTCCCTGCTTCATAAAGCCTTAGAACTGGCACCATGTAAGGGTTTTATCTTAAGGGTTCATCTACCCATGTTCATCCAGCAAAGCTCCCATGTGCTTGCTAAGCACGGCCTCACAGCTCCATTTCTTAGTGGGATCTTGCCCACTCTTTACTGATCATCAGGTGAAGCACCTCTGGTTGTTTTACCATCTGCTCTGCCACATGGACATCAGCATAGGATCACCACCAACAATTCACGGTCAGGAATTTATTAGCAGACAGACCATGTCAGCGTCCCACTAGTGGGTCTGGCTGAGTAAAGAAAGAGTTACTATCATTAATTGTTGTATAGTCCTACAGTGAAATACTGTCCCATAGCAAAGATGGGGGAGAGATAGTTACATCAGTATGGTGGAATGTCAGAAACATAGTGTTGAACAAGAGCAGCAGATGATCACACAAAAAAGTGTACAGTGTGATGTCATTTATGTAAAGTTTAAAAATTTGAAATGAAACCCTATTTTTTTTATGGGTACCTTCTCAGGTGGCAAAACTATAAAAAGTGGAAGGGAATAATGAACCATTCTCCTGAATTCAGGGTTATCACGTAGGGGTTTAATGAGGAAGAAAGCACGATGAAAGCTTCTGGGTACTGGAAATGTTATTTCTTGGCCTGGATGGTGGGTCCCTGGGTGTTCATTTTATTATTCTTTTTTCCAACTGAATATATATTTAGTGTATTCTTTTGTTTACATGGTATATTTCACAATTTTAAAAAAATGTATCACTCAGCAACTTAGGTAAACTAAAACAGCATGGTGTTAGGTTGGAGAAATTGTTGTCTGCTGTTAAGGCGGACAGATTTCAGAATTTAGGGTTTCTCCAGGCTCGCTGATAACGGCTCATTCCTCTCCCCTACAGTTTATCTATGTAGCAGCCTAGCCAGTGATTCTAAGTCTGTGCTCCATGCTGGCCTTGTAGGTCTTGCTTTTGTCACTGAGAAATCTCAGGTTGGAGAATTAAGTTTGGGCCTTCAGGGAAGGGGTTCCACATGAAAGCTGATTCACTGCCAGATAATGTGTCAGAACAGCACTAATCTTGGTGGCCCAAGAGGGCTGGTCCAGCACCATTTGGTGTTTGGAGTGTGGGCCGTGATGCGGTGCACCCAGGGTTCTGTCTGTTAGTGTGCCGTCCTGTCCGGGCAACTCCACCAGTGTTCCTTGTTCCTGTGTATTACGGAGCCCCCTGGGAGAGTGTGTGCTCATTGGCACACCCTACCACACCCTTTAATAATCCCCCAGTGTTTATTTTATTTTGCTGGAATGAGGGCTGGCTTGGGATCGGTGCCTAAGTCAATTCAGGTTTTGCAGCTCTAATGTGTCCCCGGTACCGTGCGCTCATCGCCTCGCATGGGGCTTGCCAGAAGCATGGCGTCCACTTTCCACAATGAGTGCACAGCCTTTGTGATGCACGAGATGTACGTGAAACAGGCAGATGAAACTGTGGGCGCCGTGAGAAGCTCAGAGAGAAGGAAGCAGTGTGTGGAGAGGGGAAGACTGAGGAGAGGGTGGGTGGGAGTTTGTAGAGAGACTCTTGTCCGTTGCCCAAGGCTTCTGTGTAGTATCTTAGGGACTGACAAATTGAAGGTGCTAACTGGTGAGCTGGAGAAGCAACCAGTGGGGTCGACGTGGAGGGAAAAAGTACCCAGCAGAGGGGAGCCATGCTGGTACTGGCAGCTCCCTTTGGAGTCACTTTGAGGTGAGAAAGGGTTGTGAAATTCCTGACTGAAGGTGGAAAGCCAGGACGTTAGGGTCCTTCTGTGGTTTGCTGATTCTTCATCACCTGTGAGTTTTTCCCCTCCCCAGCTATTACATGAAATCCAGGAGTTAAGGTGAAGTCAGCTAACAGATGAAACCCACAGGACTGTCTGTGAGCTATGCTGCTGCTCCAGGCACAACCATAAGATTTCTTTTGACTTAAGTACTCGCTCCTCCATCTAGAAGCCCTGTAGATTTTCCATAGTCCTAGAGGGAAATGGTACCAACAAATGGAAGAAGGCATTGAATTTGCTTTTTGGTTCATAAAAGTTTTTCATTAATAGGTCTGCAAACTGTGAAAGGGATCTCAGTTAAGAAACTGTCTATATGAGCTTAAGAATTAATTTTCTAAATTCTGTATTAGGTACGTATTTATTTTAAGAGGATAGGTGAATGTGCATGAGTGTGTGTGTGTGTGTGTGTGTGTGTGTGTGTGTGTGTGTGTGTTTGGTGTGAAGGGCTGGAGGCCCTCGTCCCCCATCAGCTGTCAGCATTGGCCAGTGTTGGTCAGAATCTGCATTTTAACAAGCTCCCATGTCGTTCTTTTACATGTAAAAGTTTCAGACCCTTCTCTGTTAGAGTTTTCACCCACCCTCCTTTCCTCTCTCCCTTTTTATGCTGCTCTGATAAAAACATATCAGATTGATTGACTTGCTTGCCCTGGCATTAATGACCACTGGACATTTAAAAGAGCTGTCATCTTGGAGACTTTCATAAAGGCCCAAGGTCTCTGGTGAGCTCTAAATAGCTCATCAGCTGTGTCTGCAGACAGCCCAGCCCAGAAAGGAAAG